CCCCTCCCCCCCCCCCCCCAATTCTGAATTCCCTTTCCCTCACCCGGAAAATTGGCCTGTAGTCCATAATTGGGATAAAACCGTCACAGGATGCCATCTTGGATCTTTTATTCTGAATTTAATTTTTTATTAAGTTGTATATTGAATTTTAATATTTGTATATTTTATGGCATTACGCCCCTTTGTACATCACCCAGAACCCGGCATAAGCTGGGATAGAGCGATTAATAAATCAGATAAATAAGAATAATGAATAATACAAAAATTCCACCTAGAGTTGCTGGATGCCACCACCAATCCCACCCCTCAGAAAAGACCCACGAGAAAGACATTCCAGTTCAGCTCTTTATTTGGTACTGAAGCACATAGGAGGGGATGCTGAAATTCAGCGCCTGGGAAAGAGGAGGAGAAGGTAGCCGCTGTCTCGGGATGGGGGTGGGGACTCTGCTGCCTGAGGAAAAGGGAACTTTTGAACAGGGACGGAGTCCTAAAGCCGCGAGGGTCTGCCTGAGGATGCAAAGTGGGTCAGGTTCAGAGACGTGGCCCCAGTCCCACAGACCGGTCCTCTGTGGGCGAGCAAAGAGGAAAAAGCACAGCATGGATGACATCCAGCTGGAAGCCACTTTCTTCCTGGCTAAAATCAGCAGCTCAAGAGGTCTTCTTCTCCCACAGCAAAGTGGCCCATCCCTGGGGTGGGGAGAATCACGGCACAGGGGCATGTCTCTCACTGCAGGCCTTGAGCGATCCCTGTTGAGAGTTCCGGGATGAGCACTGGCAAGGTATCCCAGCCTCAACATGAAATATGGTCCCACCCAACTAGTATCTCACAGGCTACAGCACAGCTAAAGACAATCAGTCTCTTAAACTTGAAGATGCCTTTGCGCGGTCTGGCATCCCACCCACTTATCGTGATCTCCCAGCACTTTCAGCTGCATGAGGACAGCATGTTACCTGACAGCATCGGCTGCCTCTCCTTAAGACCGAAGAACCCTTCAATCCCTCCCAAGGAAAGTTGTCCATACTGTGCTTCTCCCAGGCCTAGCTGGAAGATGCCAAGGTATGGGCTCAACTCTCACTCGGCATGCACAGGACCTCTGGCATCACCCTAGCCACTGGGTGGGGATGACAAAGAAACCCATTCTGCCTTCGCCTGAGTCTGGCACCTCCAGCTCCCAGCCCCGAGACGGTGTCCCACATACATGCAGCTCCGAGCCGGTTCTTCATTTCTTCTTCTTCTCCTGTGTGCTGGTGAACCAGGAGTCCAGCAGCTTCTTGCTGTAATAAAGCTGCCAGCCGTGGACCTGCACGGCGATCACCACCAGCAAGTACATGACCGAGACGGCGGAGAAGCCAAAGATGAAGCGGTAGGCCTTGCCGTGGCGATAGAGCTGCTGGGCCATGGGGAACATCTCCATGCTGCCGTAGATGAGAGGCGCCACCGAGAAGAGGCCCGTACTGATCATGGAGATCACCAGGTAGCTGATGTTGTTTCGGGGGAAGGAGAAGAGGCCGAAGAGCGAAGGGATGATGCTGAGCAAGTACGGGTACTCCCACTGGTAGGGCATGGCCACCTGGTCGTGGGGCAGCAACTTGAAGTGAGCGACACACATCTGCGCCGCTACCAGCAGCCACAGCGCCACTTGCATGTAGATCAGCTTCTTAATCTCAGACTTGAGGGACACACTGTAGGGAGGAGAAAGAGAGGTGACACAGGACAGCCAAGGGCCAGTGCTGAAGGTGATCGCAAACACTGACTTTTTTAAAAAATAATTTTTTATTGCTTTTTTACTACAAAACTGCAAAGGGAAAGGGAAATACGGGATAAGGCTAACCAATAACGCATAAAAATACAGTAAGGATCATCACACCTATAAGATTCTTAATAGCCATTTCTATCATTATCGATATAAAGGAAAGAGAAAAATACAGGAATAAAACTGGCTGCCCTATTTTTAGATTAATAAAGCTAAAACAAATTCATTTCGCCAAATTGAGTACATCATAGTTTCAAATACAAAATAACCTTTCAGAGTTTCATTACATGCATTAATTATCTCCTGTGTTTATTCTTGTCACAAACATTTACTTGTCGTTCTTACGTCTCTGTATTTTAGCTCTGGTTTTAATGATTTATGTTTTTTAGGGGAGGGTGGGTTTTAGAATGTGATTTTTACTATGTATGTTTTTATTTGTTAGTTGCCTTGGTGGCCCTTGTGAGGGCAGAAAGGGGGGGATATACATTTTATAAAATAAAAAATTAGTATGGCGTCGTGGTGGACTCTGATCTGGAGACCTGGGTTTGATTCTCCACTCCTCCACATGAAGCCAGCTGGGTGACCTTGGGCCAGCCACAGTTCTCTCAGAGCTCTCTCAGCCCCACCTACCTCACAAGGTGCCTGTTGTGGGGAGAGGAAGGGAAGGCAACTGTAAGCTACTCCAAGACTTCTTTGGGTAGCTAAAGGCAGGGTATAAAAACTAACTCTTCTTCTGATTATATAAAACATGGTGCTGATTATATAAAACATGGTGCCTGCTAGAGATGTAAAATTTCCGGAAATTTTGAAGCTCGGGGAAAAAACCGTTTTTTCCGGGGGGAAACGGAAAATTTTGGAAAAATTGAAAAAATGCTAATTAGCATTTCTTTTGTCTTTTCTAGATTGATTGTTCTTGCATTGGAGGGTTCAGTTTGTAACCTAGGACTTGCTTGTCCTCAGTGCACAGAAATTAGATCAATCTTATACCATATATATATATATATTAGAAATGATTTGGAAAATATTTGAACACCTTGTCTTAAAATATTTTATTCATAATGTTAAAATAAAACATTCCATAATCAATTTTTTTCTTTCTTTTTTTCCAATTTTTCGGAAAAAAACAAAAAGGCTTTAGGAAAAAAACGGGGGGGAAACGGTTTTTCCCCCAAATTTTTCCGGGTTTTTTCCGGGCCTTCACATCTCTAGTGCCTGCATAGCAGGCACTAACAGTGCCTTGCTAAGCAGAGGCAAACCCGTCTAAGGTCACTGAAGTTAATGGGTTTGGAGAGGTGGGACTCTGTTTAGGATTGCATTACAGATCAAAGAGATCCGGTGAAGAGGCACAAGGCCAGGAGCTCAGAAGACTGAAGCAAGAAGTTAACTTTCCAGATTTTAGACATCATGCTGTGGTCTACAGACTTTCACTTTCTGGAGGAAGAAGATGGATGGGGCACAAATGTTTGTAACACAGTAGCTTATCAACCACACTTCCATTGGCAAACAGATGGTACAGTGGAAGACAGGATCTTATCTCGGGTCACTCACAGTGAAATCGTTAAACCGTCTCCAGTACCACCTCTGAAATCTACTGCCTCATTGTGCTGCATGCATGTGTACACCAAGCCTTGTTTGATGGGCCAGCGGACAATGAAAACTGTGCACTTTCCACAATAAAACCCACAGCCTGACAAGCCTGTGCTTCAGTAATATTTATAACCAAGCATTCCTGGTGGTGGGAAGTGCCAAGCTGCAGTCGACTGACGGCAACCTAGCATGGGGTTTTCAAGGCAAGAGATGAATAAAGACTGTTTGCCTTTGTCTACTTTTGTATAGCGACCCAGGATCTCCTTGGTGGATGGTACTAACCAGGGCTGACTCTGCTTAGCTTTCAAGATCTGATGCGATTGGGTTAGTTTGGGCCACTCAGGTCAGGGAAGTCATTTCTACAAAACTTTAAAGGTGTAAAATGTCTTACTATTCTTGGTGTAGTGGTTAGGTGTGCGGACTCTAATCTTGGAGAACCGGGTTTGATTCCCCACTCCTCCACTTGCACCTGCTGATGTGACCTTGGGTCAGTCACAAGCTCTGGCACAGCTGTCCTTGAAAAAGAGCAGTTTGTGTCAGAGTTCTCTCAGCCCCACCCACCTCATGGGGTGTCTGTTGTGGGGAGGGGAAGGGAAAGGAGTTTGTAAGCCGCTCTGAGACTCCAAGTGAAGGGCGGGGTGTAAATCCAATCAAAAGTGGAGAGTCCAAGAGTACCACCAGGATGATGCCAAGGCTTGCACAAACAAAGCAGAGAGCCAAAAAGAGAAAACGATGGAAGCAAGAATATTTTGGCATCAGCCATAAAAGTTGTACGGTGCTCTGGTAATCAATGGCTAGTGTACTTCAAAGGACAGTAAAGAAGTGGGATGTCAGCTCTGTTCTAAGGCACACCAGCCTTCGCAGGGAAGATCAAGTGGCAGCAATCCTGTCTGAGCAGGATGAGCTGCCAATTTTTTCCCCCTGGCAAACCTCCTGTGCAGAATTTCAGTAGACGTTTTCATCTGGGCCCGCAGATAAACATTCCAGTGGGATAGCCATATTAGTTTGTTAGAGCAAAACCCAAAGGATGACCCGTGGCACCTTAAAAACTTATTGATATATTGTAGCACAGTTTTGTAGGCTAAAGATAGAGATGCTTACTGCCAGGAAGAAAAAAGTCCTGTCCCTTTAACGGAGGGGGGGGGATGTTAATGGGATGTTAAAAATCTTTGTCTTTAAAATGACCAGATCTCCAAGTGAAAATTACCAGATGCCCTATCTCACCAATATCCTTCTGCTATTCTTAAATATGCATCTAGAAAACATGCTACTAAAAAGCATCCTACTGCCTGGCTTGGCGGGGAGGAGGCAGGCACGCAGGGCAGAATGATGTCACATGATACCAGCAACAAACTCATCCCAGGACCCATGCTGGTCTGCGAAGATCTGACACTCATTTCCTCCAAATTAGCCACTGACCAGGCAATGGAAATGCATATAAGGCAGATCAGAGGCAAAACAACAGGATTTTGGAAGGCAGAGGGAGGGGAGTGTTAAGATCTCCAGGCCTGCTCCTGAGCGGGTGGGGGGAGAGGGGACGGGAGCGCCACACTCATTCACCTTGTCAGGTGCAGTGAGCAGCGAGTCAGTTGTGGTCTGCTGCTGCAAAAAATAGACACAGCTGCTCATGCGGGTTAGGGAGGTATAGGAAATATCTGTGTGGGGGCATTGCCCTCAAATGCCCCTGTAGCTACAAGTTGGAGGAATATGACATTTTTCTGTAGGCCACCTGGCAACTTTAGCTAGAGCCCTTAATTCCAGGTTTATGACACGAAACTTCAGACAACTGGCAACCCTGTTAAGAACTAATTCGGAATCCCTTCACTCTCTCCTGTATCACAGACTAAATGAAACTTCAGTCAGTATCTATACACACACAGGTAAAAGAGAAACTGTGAGGTTAAAAGACTCTGAAATACAAGAGGTAGCTTACCAGGCAAGTCTGCCTAACTGACATGACAAGATAAGCCAAGTGAGCACAGAGAATGACTGCAGCCTCCCTACTCAAGTAATACAATTTAACACCTGAAGTGGCCAAGGAATGTTTCTGTTTTAAGCCCAAGTTTCACTTACTGGATGCCACTAATACAAGTACAGAAGCTCTGCCAGGAAAAAAAAGAAGACAACTGGCAACCCTGTTAAGAACGAATTCGGAATCTTTTTCCTCTCCCTTCACTCTCTCCTGTATCACAGACTAACATGTCATACCGATGAGTTTACATAACTGAAAACGTACAGATGAGCAGCTTGTTTCTCCCCCCCCCCCAGAAAAAAATCGCAAATAAGGCTGCCAACGCTGGGTTGCGGGAAATCCCTGGAGATTTGGGGGCACACCCTTGAAAAGATGGAGTTTGGTGAAGGCCACAGTCTGCCTTCCAAAGTTGCCATTTTCTCCAGGGGAACTGATCTCTGTAGCCTGGAGATCAGTTGCAATTCCGGGGGAACGCCATGCCCCACCTGTAGGTTGGCAACCCTTGTGGAGGGACGAAGTAACCAACCCGCGCCGTGCAGGTATTAGCGCCCCAAACGCACCCTGCCCGCTCTCTCGCCCCCACCTCATCTGGAAATGCTCGGCCACACGCTCCCGGTGTCGGAAATCGCTGCCATCCGTCCCCGTGGCGCGGGGTCCCGCGCGGGAAGCCATCTTCCACGAAGGGCGGAAATCCAGAGGCAAGGAACGGAGAAAGCCCAGGCGCGCATGCGTAAAAGCCCGCTCACGCTTTCCCTCTACGGCCCATCAACCTTTCTATTGGCGCGTTCTCTATACCTTCGGAGAGTACAACTCTATGGTTAACGAAGGCGTTGATCTGACGAGCGTTGCTGTGATCAGTGACTCTACAGTTTTCCCTCAAGGTGGCGCCAGACAATTTAGGTTTAGGGAAATATCCCAATAGGCACAGAAATACAGAAGTAGCCGTTCTTCCTTCCCCTCCTCTGCTCCCATTGGCTCTCGTGTGCTCGCGCGTGTCGGAATGGAACCCTCTGCTTGTTTCAGGCCGGTCTCGATGCTTCGTAACGTTCCATGGGGCTTAATCTGCGGGCAGGGGAGATCTCGAGCGCCCTTCAGTGCACGTGCCTGGTAAGAGGTCGCGAGGAAGCGGGGTGGACTTTGAGTTCCTGCTCTTCCACACGCGCGCACGCCCCCCCCCCCACCTCTAGAGCAGGGCCTCTGTCACTGAACTGGCACGCCAGACAAAACTCCCAAGAGATGTGATTTTTCTTACCGCGGAAACTTCTGCCATCCCAGGTTAAGAACTTGATACTGGGATAGTAGAATATTTAAGGGTGGTAGTTGGACTGGAAGAAGATCAAATCAGTCAATCCTAAAAGAAATCAACCCTGACTGTTCCCTGGAAGGCCAGATAATGAAACTGAAGCTCAAATACTTTGGCCACCAAATGAGAAGGGAGCACTCACTGGAGAAGACCCTGATGCTGGGAAAGATTGAAGGTCAAAGAAGACGGGGACGGCAAAGGATGAGATGGTTAGACAGTGTCATAGATGCAACAAACATGAAATTGAGCCAACTTCAGAGGACGGCGGAAGACAGGAGGGCCTGGCGTGATCTGGTCCATGGGGTCGCGAAGAGTCGGACTCGACTGTGCGACTGAACAGCAAAAACAACAAAAGTTGCAGTGTGTTGCTGGCTGGTTTTGTTTTTTTTACACATAACATATGTACTTACTTTCCATTATAAGGAGGGAAGGCATCAGTTCTGAAGAAGTGAGCTCCTACCCTACCACAAATTTTGTTAGTCTTTAAGGTGCGAGTGGACTCTTGCTCTTTGCTACTCGTCAGATCTCAGCAGCTAAGCAGGGCGACCACCAAGGAAGGCTCTTCAGCCTCTGCTTCTCACTTGCCTTGAAAGCCCCTTGCTGGGGTTGCCATAAGTCAGCTGTGACTTAAACGCACTTTATACATGCACACTTTCCATTACTGCAGGTACCAGATGCTTCTGAAGGAAGGAGACTCGGGGAAGCCGTTAGCAGATGGTTCTGGTGGAGTTAGCCTCTTGGGCCCAGCACGGCCATTGAGTCGGCAGGCTCTGATTAAGCTACTGGAAGCATCCGTGGTGCACAGGGATGGTACGTTGACATATAAATGGCAGGGTTGAGAGGCCCTAAGCTGGCTTGGTTTGCTGATAGGGTTGGGTGGAGGAATGCCTGTGATGTCTCCTGTCAGGGTCGATGTCAGCCTACCTGGAGGTGCAGCGGTTAGTAGGCCCAGTGATTCCCCCCTCCCCCGGCACTACCTCTGCCTGCTTGTGAGTGTTCTGCTTACCTATGCAGGTGGAAAGGAATAGGTGGGAAGTGGGGGCAGGCGGTGGACAGGGAGGGGCCACTGGATACTCTGCTTAGCCCCAACCCCATCCTGGAACTAGCCCTGCCTCCTGTGTTAGAGGAATGGAAGAAGATTTATGCAGGTAACAGACTCAAGTGGGTAAGCAGCAGAAGAAAGCTTGAGTCCAGTGGCACCTTTAAGACCAACAAAGTTTTATTCTGGGTATAAGCTTTAGTGTGCATGCACACCAAAGCTTATACCTTGAATAAAACTTTGTTGGTCCTAAAGAGTACTGGACTCAAGCTTTGTCATGCTGATAATGGTATTGCCTGGCAATGCATGTTGGCCACAAGGTTCATGCAACTGGTAACATTCACTTCCTTTGATGTGTATTCATTTCCTGATGAAAAATAGTTCCAGGAGCTGTTCTGTTCCTATAAGAAGGATAATTTCAGAGGGGTAGCCATGCTTAATCCATTGCTGAAAAATTAGACAGGTATCCAGTGGTAACTTGAGGACTATCATCAATGTATTACAGCACAAACGTCTGTGGATCAGAGCCAACATCATCAGACGCATGAAGTGTACATTCATCAGACAGAGCTAGATTTGAGTCCAATAGCACCTCTGAGACCATCAAGAGTTTGGGGGTATAAGCTTTCGAGAGTCAAAGCTCCCTTTAAGAGATACACTTATACCTGTAACTTAAAGTATAAATGTGTCTGCCTGATGGACAACAACTTAGGATGTGTTGTTATATTCAAGATGAAGATGCGTCTGATTTTGTGAGCTCTGACTCATGGAAGCTTATGCTGAAATAAATTTTGTTTGTATTTCAGGTGCCTCTAGAGTCTTGTTTAAGGAAGGACGTTTATCTCATGGGATCCTTACAAACATTATGGTCATGCAAACCCAGTTTGCAAACCTTTGGAGAATTAATTATGCTTTGTTTGTTGCCCCCAGCAATATTTCTGGAGAACTCTACTAAATCATCTTGCTTTGATTTGGTACAAACCACACAACTGTATGATAATAACAGCAAAGGTTCTGCTCCAGTTTTCTGTGACTTGCTAGAGCCAGCTGTGCAGCTTGGGGCTGAAACCCTGAACACTTACAGTGTTTAACACATTGTGTGTTGTAATAGGAACAGGAGAGTAGCAATAGCCAGACAGGGTCGGGCATGGGGAAGAGCTAATGAGTTTGAAAAATGGTCATTCCCAGTCTTTTTGGTATGTTGATCCACTCATCCAAATTTAATTAGTATGGTGACCCACTTAGAAAACCAAAGCATGGACAAATGAATGAAACGGCAAAAGCCTGAGACCTGCTTTCACAGTTTCGCAACCCACTTTTGGGTTGGGAGTGGACCCACTGGTTGGAAGGAGCTGGTCCACCGAGCTTATGGTCCACCAAGCCGAAATTAGCCTGCTGTTCATGAATGGAGGCCTGCCGAGGGTTAGACATCCTTCTGTTTTTGCAAATCCAGGCAGGCTGAGAAGCCAGCCTGAGCTGTTTTTAGCTTGGAGGGGTGACCGGCTGTGCATGCTTGGGATAAATGTTGGTGTCAAAGCCAGTGGGCTGCATGTATGCCTTGGTTTCTCCATCAGAGGATTCCAAATTCTGCAGCAGAATCCCTTCTGCAACTGTGGACGTTTTAACCTTGCACGTTTATAGAATTAGTACACTTGCACAACTTGTTTGTGTGTGTGTATTTCCACTCCTCTGCCTCCAGTTTTTGTGAATCTGGAATCTTCATTTCAGAAATTTAACTATTCAAAAGATACTAAGAAGAGAGGAACCCATCTGAGAGGAGGATGGGACAGCACAAAGGGACAGAGAGAACTCTGCTTAGCAGAATAGTCCCTGAATACAGAGAAATCCCTGAGCTGTGACTGATATCGACAACATATTCCAAAATTGTACATCTTTGGAGTTTTGGATTGTGTGCGCCAATTATTCAATGACAAGCCCCTGAAGTACTGGAAATACTTCTACACACAGGGAGTGATTAAAATGTGGAATTCGCTGCCAGAGGATGTAGTGATAGTCACAGGAATAAACAGCTTTAAAAGGGGATTACACAAATTCATGGAGGACAAGTCTATCAGTGGCTACTAGCCATGGTGATTGAGGGGAACCTCCACATTCAGAGGCACTAATCCTCTGAATCCCAGAGCCAGGAGGCAACATCAGGGGAGGATCTTGACCTCTATGCCCTGTTGTTGGCCAGGGGCGTAGCCAGAAAACTTTGGTCGGTGGGGCATTGGGAAATCCTGTGGGGCAGGGAAGTGGGGGGGGGGAACAGGGGAGAGAGAGATCCTGTCGGCAGACGAAGAAGAGAAGGGTCTTTCCTTACCTTACCTTACAGAGCACATACTTGCTGAGTATTAATTGCACCGGCCGGCTCTCGTTCTCCTCGGCCAGGCAACAGGGCAATGAGCGAGTAGATGAGGCAGGTAGGGCCTTTCTGCTTTATCTGCCTGCCTGCTTGGCCTGGTTAATACTCCGCAAATGTGCGCTCCACACTACAGTAGCAGTGGGCCTCACCCGCCCACTTCTGTAGCACAGAGTGCATACTCACTGAGTATTAATTGCACTGGCTGGCTGGCTCTCCACCTGTAGAGGCCAAGGTGAACAAGTGTGGCCAGCAGGTAAAGGGCGTGGGCCATGAGTGGGAGTTGTGGGGCGTGGGCTTTGAGTGATGGGGCATGTGCCCCACTGTGGCTACGCCCCTCTTGGCCCTGCAGAGGAACTGGTTGGCCACTGTGTGAGACAGTATGCTGGACTAGATGGACCATTGATCTGATTCAGCAGGGCTCTTATGTTCTGTTGTTTTTTTGTTTCAGGTGCACTTGTGGCTATCAGCAAACCCCCCGGCTTGTCTGTAGCAGGTAGGTATACCTGTGCAGCTGCGGCAGTTGTACTGTATGACTAGGGGGAGCACTGGAGGAGCGGAAGTGTGCTACCAAAGTAGAACTAGATTGAGGAGAACAGTTGTAGTGAGAGAAGGAAAGCAAACCTCTGTCAGAGTAGGGAATGGTCTCTCCTTTGGTCATGAGTCATGGATGAGAGGTTGCTGGATTTGTGTGACATTGACCCAAGTTTCTTCTTCTGTGCTTACAGGAAAACCAGATGACATGACTTTGGTTTCTCTTCTGCCTGATCTAAGCCAGAAACTGGGCCTCTCGCAGGATGTGCAGGTGATCAAAGCTCCAGGAAAGTAAGTGAGATGCAGTGCTGGGAAGACTGACATTAGGCTGCCCACAGAAAGGATTAGTCTCCTTACAGCAGGATAAGCTGTGGAGCTGCAGTGATAGAACGGATGGGAAGATACACCACCGTGGCTCTGCCAGTTCTGCATTTGATAGTGGATAGTGCAATGGATCCCGGCTCAAATCCCATTTCTGTCAAGGACTGCAAATTACTGTTTTCCTGCTTCAGTACCCAGGATGGGAATATGAATATAAATTATTACTGCTGTGTATTTTTTTTTTTAAAAAAATATTTCATAGGATCGCTAGTGTTACTCACTGCTGAGCATGCTAATCGTAGTTGTTTGAAATCGACCTCCTTCCCGCTGCCCCCAAAGTTTTTTTCCTTAGAACGTAGCTTAGACACAAACCTTTTAAACTGATTTAATTTTTTGTTGTACAGTCCCAGCAGTTGCTAAGTCTGTCGTGTCTTCCCAGGGAAAGTTCTGGACTTGTGCTGCTTTCGGATTGCCAGAGCACGATCCGGCAGTTCCAGGAATTCTATGCCAAGTGTAACAAAGCAAGACGTCCAGTGGCTACCTACTGGTGAATCCGACGTTCTCCTTTCTCCTTGTTGCTACCGATAGTGGGGGGGAGGAGGAGGAGGAGGGAGTGATGATTCCAAAGGAGAGGGGGGGGAAGTGCTTCAGGATCCCCTTCTGCCGGCCCCCATTTCTCACATAGCTTTGCTAGGCCTTAGCATGTCTGAACAGTCTGACGATGAACCCCTCTCTCCTTAGTGCCGTCACGACCAGGGTGCCTGCAGACTCGGAGGGCGAAATCCGGACAGGCCTCAAGCTGATACGCAAGGAAGATTCTGAGCTGGTGAGGAAAGCATTCATGGGGAAGGCAAATGGTTCTGAGGAGCTTGCCACAGCTCACGGGGGAGGAGGGCAGGTTGCTCCAGTTTATGTTCAGCGGATTCCTCTGCAAAGCCAACATTGGGTATTGCCTCCTGTGGCATCCAGCAGCCCGGATTGGAGGGCCATAGGGATTACCTGGGCACCGGTTAGCTGCTGCTGTTGCCGAGGGTCGGCAGGGAACGCTCCATCTCATGGGGCTGGGTGTGGTTTGCAGGTGGTGCCGGTGGCTTCTCCGTCTCGTGGCAGCCTCCAGAGGAGGGAGGTGAAGGACACACGGACGCATTACAAGGTGTTGGACTCCCAAGATCAGTGTGCCTTGGTGCAGCTTCAGCCGCTGACAGGTGTGGTACAAAGATGTGCAGCCACTGAGCAGGCCCTGCAGAGTTGAGACAGCAGAGGAGGGGGGGGTCACTGGGAGGAGCATTGCTTTCCACTGCACAGCAAAAAAGAGGTGGGTGGGGAATGACTTCAGCAGAATGCAGCTCGAGTCCCAAACATGTTAGTCTTTCTCCATCAAGCCACAGGCCCGGCTGCATTCCTAACCCAAGATTAAAGATTTGTGGATATACTCTGTGCGCATATAACCTGAGATCCAGCACAGCAAACCCCAAAACTATTTTGTGGGTGAAATGGCAAGTATCTAGCCCTCGTGGTTGTAGACAAACAGCCGTGAACATTCTTTACTTACAGGCTTAGACACCAAATTTATTTACTTACTTTTGGTGTAGTGGTTAAAGTGCACAGACTCTAATCTGGGAGAACCAGATTTGATTCCCTGCTCCTCCACTTGCAGCTGCTAGATGATCTTGGGCAAGTCATAGTTCTGTCAGAGCTGTCCTTGAAAGAGCGGTAGAGCTGTCCTTGAAAGAGTGGTTTTTGAAAGAGCTCTCTCAGCCCCACCTACCTCACAGGGTGTCTGTTGTGGGGAAGGGAGGGGAAAGGAGTCTGTAAGCCGCTCTGAGACTCTGAGTGAAGGGTGGGGTATAAATCTAATCTCCTCCTCCTTTATTTGTAGTCCACCTTTCTTACTGAGACTCAAGGTGGATTACAGTGTTTTTAAAAAGTATTTCATTCTTCTGGGCTCATTTTTTACTTCTTTCCTCTTAATACCTCTCCCCTGCTTACTTTCCTATAACTCCCCATTCTAATCCATGCTTTTCCTTTTACGTGGCTTTTGTCACTATTGTAGGCAACTCTGAAAAGGGGTTAGACAAATTCTGGGAGGATAGTTCCATCTATGGCTGTTACTGGGGGGTGGGATGGGGGCACACACACTGAATGGGACCTCCACGCTCAGTGTACCTTTGAATGCCAAATGCTGGGAGACAAAAAAACAAAACAGGCGAAGACTTTGGCTGCTGTGCCTTCCTTGTGCACCTGATTGGCCACTGTGGGGAACAGGAGGCTGGATAGGTGGGTGTCAGCATATTGGAAGCGCAAATAATGACTCAATCCAGAGTTGGCTAGTGCTGAACTATTTACAGTGGTTTATTTACAGCAATATAGACATACAGTCCATATAGCACTTGCAGCATCCAATTCTCCAGGCAAACTGACAAAGTGCTTCGCATATAATCCAACTCACAGGAGTGATGAAGAACACACAAGACTGTACTGAATATATACGTCTCAGCACCAGTCAGATTGAAGTGCTGACTCATGGTGACAGTAGTCAGGATGATGCAACCTATGCTCTGGTGACTTGTCACATGACACTCCCCATCTGTCACCACAGATCAAGATGATCTGATAGACTACCTTTACCTTTACCTTGGCTGTCATCTTGCTCGCTGTACATCATAGTATGCCGTCAGTGGGACCATTGGTTTGCTCTAGCTATGTAGAGCTATGTAAAATAGAGGTGCTGTTGCCCAGAGCTGGATGGCCCAGGCTAGTCCAGTCTCATCAAATCTCAGAAGCTAAGCAGGGTCAGCCCTGGTTAATACTTGGATGGGAGACCACCCAGGAAGTCCAGGCTTTGCTAAGCAGATGCAGGCAATGGCCAACCACCCTCTGCTTGTCTCTGGCCTTGGGAGCCCCCGTGGGGTTGCCCTAAGTCTGCTGCAGCTTGACAGCACTCTCCACTACCTGGATGCTGCAGGATAACAGTGCAGGATGTAATTTTATTCTAAGGGCAAAGTTCAGGCTTCCTGGGGACACAATCATAGTTGAGCAGTTCTTGGGTTTTGTGGGTGCGGCACTCTGCCCTACTCAAAGCGGAGGTCAAGCTGCTGTCGTTTGTGGGATGCACCCTTCAGTCTTGACTCGTTTTTTTCTTTCTTTTTGGCAGCTTTCCCATGTCAACTCCTGGTGCATCTGACACTGATACTGAGTCCAGCCCTAGGGGACCACGTGCATTCTTCCCGCGTAGGGACAGTCCTGGGGGAGCCCTTCCTCTTGCCCCCTGAGAGTACCCCGCCTCGGACACAGGTACCACTCTAGAACTGGTTCTGCCTCACTTGCTTCTAAGACAGCTATGGAGGAACTTGGTGGGAGTCAACGCTCCCTCTAAGCCGTGGAGTCTTGTGAGCAAAAATTCTACTTTGTGAGCTATTGGTATTAAAGTTGTGAGTGAGCAATTTGGCTGCTGCATACATTAGTTTGCTCTGGAGCCATCCCTCCTGAGCTAAGGCAAAAATGTATGAGCCAGAGGCTAGAAAACTGTGAGCTGGCTCACACTAACTCAGCTTAGAGGGAACACTAGTGGGGTGTAGACGAAGACTCTCTTTTATGTTCTCAGGCTATTATTTAAGTAACTTTTAATGGGAGAACTTTATTAGACCAGTTGCCAGTTTACATTGGGAAGTGGGCCTTGCCCCCCAAGTCCTGTGCATGCTTTTGTACATCTCTCTCTTGCACATGCAAGGTTGTGCAAGCACATTCCTGCATAGTGTTCTTTCATACGTATATTTTGTTTGCAAGTGCCAGCTTAGTTGTGATCTGTGCTGAGCTGGTGAATATGAAGGTGCTTAGTGACCTTAGAATATGCTACAGCTGGCTGATAAAACCCATAGAGATGGGACCGGCACTGGGCAGAAGCAGGGTATAAGCTAATGAGTAGGAGCTGGGAAGAGAATTGTAAGGTCCCTGCACAGGAGCTGCACAGCTTGAGACTCACCATTTTTGGTTCACAGAGCCAAGGTTTGGTTTAGCATAATGACTGGATCGGAACTCAGAGCCTCTCACGGTGGGGGGACGGTTACTTGCTGTGGACTGGAATTCTACTGGTATTTCCTGAAATCTTATTTGCCCTACCTTCGGTTTTGTTTGATAGCACTGAATATGGACCAGAAACGTATTAAATATTGAGTGAAAACAGGAATGTTAGTGAGGCACGATGGGATATTTAATGAACCAGTGCAGTGGAGGGAATATTGTGCTTGGACATCAGGTCTGGGTCCAAATTCCTGCCCCACCAAGGAACTCGCTGTCTGGCCCTGAAGAAAATTGCTGTTCCTTCCCAAGATTATTGCAGGGATACCACTTCAGATGTGAGAACCGCCAGATACGGCCACTTGTCAAAATTGTATGAGTAGTTTTGGATTGATCTCCCTCTTCAGTGTTGCAACTGAGAATCCATGCCTGTCCTGGCTGATAAAACCATGTTAAAACAAAAGGCTGCTCTTGTCAAAATAGTTAATCTTTGGCAGAATGTAGGTTTCCAAAATCATTCTGGGGAAGCCTTTTGTATAAGCTTCCCATGATGAGAGAGGATTTGACCAATGATAGGTCTCTGTCCAGTCTTCTCTTACTGGGCGATTCATCTCTATACTTTCGTAGAAATGTGTAATCCCTCAAGACCTGAGATTCTCCACAGTGTTTTCAGATGAGATGATTCAAAGCTAAATGAGATAATTCAGATTTCTGGAGTCGGTGAAGGCACCTAGCTCTAGATGATGCTTTTCTGAAGCAGCTGTCTTGGCTTGGAAGTTGGAAGTGGTGGTTGACTGCGTGTAGCTGAATTCAGACAAGACAGATGGGATGTTGGTTGGGAGAGCGGATGCTTTGTGAGAGATTCACTGGTGTGAAGTTATCATTGGCAGGTCAGTCCTGAAGCGCTCTTGGGCCCATCTTTATTAACGGAAGAACTGGCTAGAACTAGTGAAAGATAGGAGAGGTTTCTTTCGTCGGTGCCCGATTTGGAAACTGTGTCCTCCCTCCATAGCAGACTCCCCTGACCTAGTCACCTTGCTCCATGCTCCCCTAACTGCTAGTCTGGACTGTTGCCACAGGCTCTGTGTGGTGCTGCCCTTTGAGGCAACCCAATTAGGGCAGAATGTGGCTGCTCAACCAGCTGCCGTGCACACATAAACACCGAGTTTGGCACAGTTGCACGGACTTCTGATTTGCCTCCAAGGTCAAGATACTGGCTATGAACTGGGACCCACATGCCGGAAGGACCACCTCCACCTGTATGGAACCATGATGTTCCTTACTGCAGTTGTTTCCTTCTGTCCCTCCTCTGTGTGTGCCACCGCCAGGCATCCTCACTTGCCGCCCCCATCCTATGGACTGGATGGCCAGAAACAGTTCAAAACGACACCCGTGTGATTGGCCAGTCACAAGACCTGTATGACTGTTCTCCTCAGTGTGTGCGTGGGAGGGTGTTCCCCCCCCTCCCCTACAAGTCAGTTCTTAAACTGAGAGCGTGCTGTCTTTTGCTGGCAGGTGATGAATGGGTGGTTCGCTTTTCCTTGGAGACCTCGGTGATCTTTGATAACATACTTGCGTTCATTTTTTTTTGTGCGCTCCTTGGCTGATGGTCAGGGCTGCATACTGCCTTGGACTATGCAGGAAGGATGGAATGTAAATATTTTAAGTACAGAAGAACAAAGTGAGACTGCCGAGATTTGCTGTTGGGGCTAGCATGGTGAATACTAAAATAAAGGCCGTTAAGCACTTGGCTAAGGGGGTGTTCTTTCCTCTCTCTTGCTAGGTCCTGGACGAGGCTCTGTTGTGCAAGCTGGGCTTGAAGCAGCTGCAAGTGCATCGCCTGCCCCTTCACCTCCACCTGCACCAGCTCCTCCTGCCCACTGCCACCTCCTCTGCCTCCAGCACGGTGCTGACGGCTCCTCCTCCTCCCTTTTTCCTGCAGACACTGAGTCTTCTGGGGCTCCGTCTTGCGACAGAAGAAACACGACAAAGGCATCCAGAGCCTCTGCCCCGACCTGGCAAGACTCGTGCCTGCCCCCGTAAAGTAGGAACAGTAGCCTAAAGCCAGGGGAATGAAGGCTTCTTTGGAAAGGCTGGGCCCCGTTGCTGCAGACAGAGAACCCCTGCTGGCCAGGTGCACACAGTGAAAAGCGAAGAGTGTCATTTAGTGGCAAAGGCTGGTTTTGTGACCTTTGCCGCTCTGAGGGTTGCCCGGTCTTACTGGCCTTCCAGCGGTGGGCTCCTGGGCCCATGCTTGGATCTTCTGGCGCACGTGATAGAGTTTTTGGCCAAAATGCTAGAGCGTCAAATGCACAATGTGCCTGGTGCAAAACGACATCACATTGTGCTGACGTCGTCGACATGATAGGGGTTGTTTGGCAGTGGGGCTTCCCCCACTGGCCAGCAGTGTGTTGGAGCCCCCAAAATCGGGGGAACCCTTGCCCTGACCGGAGGTCTGGCAGCCCTAACAGAGGTGAGAGCTATTTGTTTCAAGGCTTCTTGCAGAGCAAAGGCAGCATCTGAGACCCAAGTTCAGCTCTAGGGGTTGTAGTTGCCCTGAGGGGTAGAATGGCAGGGGGGGCTCAGCTTCTGCCTCGGAGTTTCCAGGTGCCCTGGCAGAATGAGTTTGGGCGCAGTTCAAGGCGTAACCATGTCCTATTAAAATCAATGGCATTTAGGCATACCTATTTTTTTAGGCATCGGCTGCCGCTTAGTACAGTGGTGCAATACATTTAGAAAAGGCATCGCCCAGCCATTAGGTTGCTCACCTTGGGAGGACCTAAAGAGGCTTTGGGCAGTGTTCTCGTCCCCTTAGAGGCTGATGCTTTTGGACTGTGCTGGTGATGAGGGTCTGGCCTCTCTCCCAAGACCTCTTTTTGCTGTGGGAGGATCACAAGCCTGGAAATGGTGCAGAGGAACCGCTTTAGCCTTCCTGTCCTGTCTTCTCTCTCCCCCCCCCCACTCCAGTACTTCTTTGGCAAAAGAGAGGTCTTGCTGAATTTGTTCCAGAGGAGATCCCCCTGCTGTGTATGCATTTTAAAAAATTCAATAAAGTTGTATTATACAAGCTCTTAATTGGACAGTATACCAAAAAACCCCTCAGTATTTGGTTAAAAATGTTGTATTGTCTGTGTAGGCATGGCATCTAGCTGTAGTTCAATTGCTGAATGACCCTGTGCAATGTGAAAGCTTGCCTACTTCCGCATTACCGTGTGTTGATCTAACAACAAGTTGCCTTTCCTTTTCTCCACATGATTTGGAAACAAGTTGGGCTGAAAGGAGCATGCCACCTACAGTAAACAGGGTTTGACTTTGAACGTGTGTTCTTAGTAGTGTCAGATGGTTATCTGCCTTTCACAACCCAGCAGAGTAACCCGAGCGTGTTTAGCAACTAGAGTTTCTGAAGGCTTTTAAAATAGTACAAGATAGCAGGCATCAGGCTCTATCAAGCCTTGTACCTCCTTGCTATGTTGAAACCCAGGGAATGTTTAGAAAAAGCCTGTGGTTCTATTATGCATCAGTGTGCAGGACCTTTGAAAAATTTGGGACAAAAAAAAATTACTTTTCCACTTTCTCTCCCTCCCCCCCTTCTTTCTTTGCTCCACATCATCATCCCAAAAAAAGATGGTAGTGGACAGTAGGAGGGTTTTGGAGCAGCCTTCTAGAGAGACTGGGTAAATCCTAAACTTTCTAACAGATTTTGCTTATAATGACAGCACTAGTACTGGGGATGGGGGGAGGGTTGGGGGGGGGAGTCTTACTGGCAAACATTCTTGAACACACTTGTAAACTGAAAATGTGTCTTGATGATAGAAATGTTCAGCCACAGTATATTCTGTGTTCTGTAGAAGCAAAATTATAACATTACAGGGTGTGTTGATTATTTAAGCCTGGAATACCAGCTTATCTTGGTCCCAGGATTTATTTACTAAATTGAAAAAAAAAACAACCCTGCTGAGTTTTACCCACTGCCCCAGTTCTGAGTAACCAGATATGTCAGGAAAGTCTTGCTTAAAACTGGCTCAGGTAAGAATCCCATGTTCAGCATTGGGCCACTCTGAGCTCCAGAAAGACTGGAGAGAGGGAGGGTGGGAGGAACTGTGGTAAGTGCAGGCGGCCTTGATCTTAGACTCTTGCCAGCAAACAGAACTAGGTTTGAGATTGTACACGCATATACTGGGATGATTTGTCATGTGCTGGTGGGCTTAGATCTCTGCACCATCCAGAATAACGCAACTGAATCCCACAATTAGAATATATGCACCTTGTGCCCAATTTGCGTAGATACCCATTTGTCCTTGGATCTTTTTGAAAAGCTTGAAGTTACAATGTGTAGGAGGATGACTGTTTCAGGGGTAGACGGAACAGCCTTGTCCTGCCCTTATAGATGTAAATGGGTACTACGGTGCCAAGGAAAGAGGGTCTAGAGCTGGGCCACAGAAACCTCATAGACGTAATACAGACATCAAAGGTTTTTAAAAAGCTGCATTGCTTCTTGACGTTCTATTTGCAACATGGCTAAGTCTCAACTTTCACCGTGAAGTACAAAAGCTGACCTCTTTGTTTCTTCCAAACTGGTATCTTTAATGCTATCACAATCATCCTATCAAACAGAGCTCTCTGAAGTTTCGTTTAATCAGCCACAAAAGTAAAGTTTGTTTATTCTCCTAAAGAACTACAGCCAGGATTCACAGACTACTTAAGTGATAATGCTGCTTCCACCAAGAAAGACTATAAAAGTCCACTGGATGTGTAACTGGGTACAATAGTTGTCTGCCTTATTATTTTCAGTGGTGGTGGTGGTGGTGGGGAAATCAAGGAATTGTAGAGGAGGTGGGTCACAGTGTTCTTCTTTAATCATTGTTGGGGGGGCAGCATTGCCCCAACCTCTTCTTACTGCCTCTTGTGCCTTTCATAAGAGCCTTCTGCACATGAACATCTAGCAGAGGAAGCTTTGCCCACTTTTCCTCACTCTGCCATGTAAAAAGCTTCACTTGCTCACTTTGTGTGTCGTGCTGTCTGTAATTCAAGGCTCAGAAGCAGGGCTAGAGAGACGGTGGCCATCCCAAGTACAACAAAGATGAAATACTACGAAGCATGACAGTATGCCTCTAAAAGATAACACACAAAATAATTACATTATTTGGTTTTTTTAAACAAATCATTCCTCCCCAAAGGGGCCTAGATTCAGATGGACCTCCCGTGCATGGAGGCACCCACCCAGAACCTTCTCTTTCCATGCATGAAAAGCTCTAGAAAGGGGGCTTCTCTGAGCGGACTGTAGAAACCACAGTGGGGCTCACAGAAAGGCTGTCGTTTTAGAGCTTTATGTAGAATACCCAGAAACTTGAGCCAGGAAGGGAGGAAGCCAGTCTATATCCTGGAGCCATGGATGTGATCACTCCTAGGGCTGAAACCATGGGAAGCTAATCTCTATGATATGGGAAGGAGTTACAACAGCATTTCCTTTTGCAACATAATGAGGATAGCCATGTAACGCATGAGTCACCTCACCTATGTCTCTTGCAGAGGTAAGCATTTGAGTATATCTTTCCCACGGTGTTTTGCAATGATTTATAAAAAAAAGAAGACATGATCTGATCACAAGACGACACCTGCCTTGTCACTCCTGTCTATCTCTAGGCCAGTTTGCAGCACTGTTATGCAGAATCCAGGGGCAGGGTTTTGCATTTTCAGGCTGTCTTGATGGTTGAATAGCACCTCTTATGTTCTATGTGACTAGAACACAAAGCTGCTTCCATGTAGAAGCTTTCCTCCCCCACCCCCAGGAAGTAGTTCTTTTGAGGTTTCTGCATGAGGCCTTGTCCTCGATTTCCCTCTATCTCTGCTGTAGGTTTCCTCAGACCTGCTTTGGAAGAGCCTTCCTGGAAGCATGAAAGAAAAGGGGTAGATTTACACAATTTCCCCACTTGCAGCCAGAACTCTCCCTACCACTGGCAGGCTTTTTGCTGGCTCTTCTGTTTATCCTTAGTAGATGCAATGTTACAGCATTTTTAAAACACTACAGTGATTTTTTAAATGTGGATTTTAAAAAAAAAGAAGAAGAGGAGGAGGAGGAGGAGATTGGATTTTATACCCTGCCCTTCACTAGGAGTCTCAGAGCGGCTTACAAACTCCTTTCCCCTCCTCACAACAGACACCCTGTGAGGTAGGTGGGGCTAAGAGAGCTCTTTTCAGAGCTGTCCTTGAGAGAACAGCTCTGAAAGAACTATGGCTTGTCCAAGGTCATCCAGCAGCTGCAAGTGAAGGGGAATCGAACCTGGTTCTCCCAGATTAGAGTCTGTGCACTTAACCACTACACCAAACCAGAGGTGTGCTGGGGAGAAATGGCAAGCAAGCAGGGAAAGCACAGGGAACCCCTCGCCCCTTCAGAAGCTCTGTGGCTGCTGCCTGCTCCTTTCCTTTCATAGTGACAATAACAGCAAAACAGGGACCTTTTCCTGTGTGGAAGCCGCAGTTAAGAGTGGGCAAAACCAGGCTCAGATTGGCAGCAAAGGGCAGGTTCAGCCTTCCCGGTACTATCCATTCTCCCTGCCATCACCACCACCTTTTCGCTAGAGTGGAAGTTTCATGATGGCAGCCTTGAGCGGCCAATCCGATCACAGTAGGGAAACCTGTCTTGAAGGCTCTTCTAGCCTGGTGGCAGAACAGAAATGGGGTAGTGTTGGCAGCATGGGGAGGAGGTACAACAAGGCAGGAGAGAGGAGTAGAAAGGGCTGGAAGAGAAAGGGCTGGAGGTGGCACCAGCACACCATTCTAGACTGAAATCTCACCAGCAGCATAGGGGTCGGTGGGTGTGCATGTGCCCTGATGCTCTGGCCTCCCAACCATGGTGGCAGAAGTAACGCATCAGACGTGTTGTCCCCTTGGTGCTTGGGGGGGGGGGGGTCAACAGTGGGAGGGCTTCTAATGTCCTGGCCCCACTGGTGGACCTCCTGATGGCACCTGGTATTTCTGGCCACTGTGTGACACAGAGTGTTGGCCTGGATGGGCCTTTGGCTTGATCCAACATTGGCGTCTCTTATGTTCTTATGTTCTTTTTAGCCCACACACCACTGTCCAGCTGTTTCCTGTGCTGGTGAGTCTCTCAGGCC